AGAGATTTTGCAGGTCCAATACCTGGTTTTCTCTCGGCATCCCCATCACCGTCCCCACCAGCTTTTGCCACTCGTTGATGTGGCTTCGGCCTCACAGAGATTCTGCTGGTCCACTACCCAGTTGGTCTCCCCTTGCATAGCCTTGACTATGGCCACCAGTTGTTCTCCCCTTGCACAGCCTTAGCTATGGCCGCCAGTTGTGCCTCCCCTTGCATAGCCTTAGCTATGTCCGCCTTTTTGTTCTCCCCTTGCATAGCCTTAGCTATCTCCCCTTGCATAGACTTTGCTATCTCCTCTTGCATAGCCTTGACTATGACCGCCACTTCTTCTCTTCTTGCATAGACTTTGCCATCTCCCCTAGCATAGCCTTAGCTATGGCCGCCACTTCTTCTCCCCTTGCATAGCCTTAGCTATCTCCCCTTGCACAGCCTTAGCTATGGCCGCCAGTTGTGGCTCCCCTCGCATTGCATAGACTTCGCTATCTCCTCTTGCATAGCCTTTAGCTATGGCCGCCACTTCACAAGAGGAGATAGCAAAGGCTATGCAAGGGGAGATATGGCCGCCAGTTATGTCTCCCCTCGCATAAGCCTTAGCTATGGGCACCAATTGTGCATCCACTCACATAGCCTCAGCTATGGCCACCAGTTGTCATCAGTTGTTCCTTCCTTGCATAGCCTTCAGCTATGGCCGCCATCAGCTCTTGTCATCCCAATCACCATGCCAGAGTGCAATTACACGCTTCTCCCGGAGCGCATCTATTCTCTCTCATGCTTGCACAGGAGCTTCTTGATTATGATTCCAGCCGTATTTGCTGTGGCCCTTTGGAACATGGATATGGCTAAGGCCTCCCGACAAATTCTGCCGGCTCGGTAGCCAGTTGCCCTCCCCTTACATAACTAACGTAGAGACTGAAGTATGATAGTATCACACTAATGTAAGGCATAGCATGAACATAGCACCAGTGGGACCGGCGCCTTATTTCACACACAAGAATATACCGGCGATGCGTCAACAGTTCCACCAGTGTTCGATGCAACATCAATGCCTCCCCTCCCCTCCCCTCCGCTCCACTCCGCTCATGCCCCGCTCGTAGATACACCATGCTTCTTTCTCACTCCAACAAAGACCACCCAGAATACTACACGATCTCCTTGCGCTACCCATTCTACAACATAATGCCTACCGTCTTCACCCGAATAGAACACCCGGTCGTTGTCGCTGCATGCGGACTGAAAGTTGCCCCAAATACAGATATAACCACCGGGCATTATATTCGGGTGAAGACTGTAGTCCCATTGTACAACACTGCTTTGAATATAAAGTATGCGCATTGACATTGGGCGAGAGAGAGAGAGAGAGAGAGAGAGAGAGAGAGAGAGAGAGAGAGAGAGAGAGAGAGAGAGAGAGAGAGAGAGGATGCAATTATGCGTGGTGTTGTAGATGAAGTATCATTAATTCTCTGGCCTCGGACACACTTCATGGCCAAGACAGTGACCTCATTGTTTGCTTCTAACAGGGAAGTAAAGCCTTCCCAAAAAAATGAGGAAGATGGACTTCGATGGAGATAAAGAACTAAGACATTTTCCACCATTCTCCCCTCCAAACAAATGGGGAAAAAAAAAAAAAAAAAAAACCTTCTGGAGGGAGTCACCCCCTCCCTGAGGTCCCACCGTCTGTGCAACCGAGCTCTTTTTTTTTTTCCCAATCATGATCGCTAGATCGTGCTAAGCTTCACTGTGCTAAGGTCCACCATACCTTTTGGACGTGAAAGCAGCTGGGTGTAGAATCTGGGGCACATATGACAGTATGCCCTCCGGAAGGCCCTTACTTCACGGGCTGTATTCGCCCCAGCAGCAAAAAAAAGAATAAACTCCTTGGAGATGAAAGCAGCTGGATACAGAATATAGAGTACAAGTGAGACTACGCCCTAAGTTGCAGAGTCGTCAGCTATCTGTGTAATGCGCCCTACCTCGTTGGCAGGGCACGAACAGAGGACGAAAAGAAAAAGAACAAGGGTCTGATCCCACTGCTACACTTCGACTGCACACGCGAAAAAGCACTACAAAGATGTCAGCGGCCGTGGCGGGGCGAAAAAAAGAGAAACTGGATCCCACGAGGGTGACTTCTTCGGTGGTTTTCCTGGACCCGCGGTGGTTCTTCATGGTCTGTCACAGCCTCCGCCAAACGAAACGCCACACAACACTGTGGCCCACAGACATTCCTCGTGTTGCAACGGACAAACGAGAGAGAAAGAAAAAACATAAAAAAAATTGCTCCCTCTTTTTCGCTGCCGTGAAGCCCTCGCCGTCTACAGAAAAGTTGTAGTAACTACGTTTGCGCCCTTCGCGGACGTGCGGCCACGACATACCCAAACGAAAGTATGGCAAACGGAAACTTGTGGGATCTGAAAAGTACACGGTAAAAAAAAAAAAAAGAAAACTACACTGTAACTGGGCAATAGTGTAGTGGTGGGAACAGACCCTAAACAAAGACAGCCAAATAAATAATGAACGTAGCCAAGTTTCTGCGTAGATGCGTTCCTTGGAGCACCGGTGTGAAGGAGCAAACCTCCTTCACGGCCTTCCCCGCCTTCCTCCCTTTCTACTCTTCTGCTTCTTTCACTCTTTTTTTTTTTTTGGGGGGGGGKGCAATTGGGCCCATAAGTCCCAAGACTAAAGGCTCACCGACCCTCCACCGGGCTCCGACTAACTTCGGAATTTTGGGAAAACTGTCAGTTTCTTTTTCCCGAATTTCTTTTGCCTGGCGGAGATACTAGCAGTGGTTTAAAGCTCTGCCATATCGCCTTTTTTTTTGCCTTTTTTTTGCCTTTTTTTTTGCCTTTTTTTTTTGCCTTTTTTTTCTTTTCTTTTGGGCTCAGTGGCCAAGGCAAGAAACAAATAGAAGTACAATGAGAGCATACTCAGGGCCTCGCCACACCACTCTCTAAATGTGAAAAGGACAAAAATGTGGCGAGTGCATCTGGCCATGTTCTAACGGGAAGTTCATCCTCATTTTGCACATTTCGAGAGCGGTGTGGTGATGCCCTCACACTAGGCCCTCAAACTCGCAAAATCACAAAATGAGCGGCCGCCTCACACTAGGCCCTCAAACTCGCAAAATCACGAAATGAGCGGCCAGATCGAGATCCGGCCGCTCATTTTGGGATTCTGCAATTTTGCGGGCCTAGTGTGAGTATGCCCTGCGCTGAACTGAAAGAAGATTTTCACGGGCCGGGAGGCCTCCAGCCCGTCACCCCAGGCAGAGGCCCTTCCCTGTAGAAAGGGAAGACCTTGAGACAATGAAAAAAAAGGGGCGACTGGGATGCCTCCCTTTTTCCGGTTCTCCCTTCGCGTTTTTTTGTGCCCATTCGAAGGCAAGGCAAAGTCAACGGCACAATTGGACCCTGGGTTTTTTCCTGTTCCTCGTACGCAGCCTAGATAATAAAGTTGAATGAAGTTAATAAACCCCATTACTAGTTTCAAAAAAAAAAAAAAAAAAAGGACTAGCACGTCATAATAACTGCCCAAAATCCTCCTCGCTTAGAGCGAGAGTTTCTCAA